GAGATGACGTGCCGGTGCAGCCAAGAGATGCCCACAGATCACAGGGAGGGGGGAGGTTCTACATCAAGGTCAAGGTCCATCCTCACACACCCTACAATAGCAACAACCAGAAGAGCACCAACACAATAACATAACATAAAGGAACTCAGTAGTACGTAAGATATGCCAGAAGATCGTGAAGTATCAACATAACATACCATAACATGGCATAGCACACTGTGTAATACAACATAATACCGTACGACATACTATCATGCAAAGTGATGGCCCGCAGCGTAGTAGAAAACAGAATCAAGGTACTTAGAACATACGATAATTCATGATGCACCACTGTGACACTGTGACATCGTGTCATGATACAACATGATGCTTCACAGAAGGATAGAATACAAAAGACAATCCCAACTAGCTGAATTGCACTATTTCTGCAGCAGAAAAGACTAGAACAGAACAGAGTAGACTCGAATAGATGGAACAGAGTTGAATATACCACAGGAAAATCCAACACACGACAATACACAAACAATGCACTAGAATTATGTAAACCACTTGGTATACAACACAACAGTATTTAGCATAATGCTGTAAAATATCGACATGGTCTTCTAAAGCACCGTGTGACAGAGCACACTGTATAGTAGAGTAGAGCATAGTGTAGCAGAGTAGAGTTTAGTAGCGTCTAGGCAGCTTAGATTATGAGGCCATAAAGCGAAGCACCAGACTACGCTATAAGAGACAAATAACTCCGGATGAAACCCTGAACATACCAGGAAATAATATGCTAAAGTTAATAGAACACCATCACATATAACTTATAACATCGCACAGTAGCATCATAACTGTGGAAACCAATAGTATAGAAGAATAGTATCGAATATAGTAGACCCACTCCTATCTTACCGTGGCTGACATGCCCAACACTTTCACTGGCATCAAGATCTCCTGCCAGGATGCCACTTCCGTTGGGTGGCGTGGAGATGAGTTCTGCGGAGGCCACGTCGGCAATATCCCACCCTTTCGCTGAAATCCTCTTGTAAAAGAGAGACGCTTAATTAAAGCAGAACTCCACGCGAAACAAGCAAGGACGGCGACAGTGACGGAGCTTTGCACAGCACCGTCGCCATTTCATTGAATCATGTTGTTCCAGTAGTGTGTACAATCCCGCGGCTGAAACTGGCAAGCAGCCCGAACCGCTACAGTATCTTGGGTCTCATCCCGCTTGCAGAAGAATCCCCGACAGTGTGCGTTGAGCTTGTCGTGATGAAGCCCATTGAACCTCCTCAAACCGCAAACTGTCATGTCCAGGGCAGGGGCTAGGAACTGCCAGTGCGCGTGATCTTTGCCGGGGGGAGGCCCTTCACCAGGGAGGCCTTCGCCCGCGACAGCTGCCCCTTCCTCAGAGCATTCCGCTGAATTTGGGTGGAAATGCCTGGCGGCGCTTACTTTAGGGCTTCGGGGCTTACCTTCAAGGAAAACGGCCCCCACGCGCACCAACCGTCTTTTCCGGGTCGGGTGAAGCGGCGTTCGGCCCCCAGGTTCAATAATTACGTGCTAGTCTCATACTGGTGTACAGAGTATATACAGGATGAGCGTGAATAACAAATCCGACGGCTCGTCCGAGCAGAAAAACGTGGTAAAGCCACGCTACATGCAGCCCGCACAGTCCCGTTCCCCCACTCCACGACGCCAGGGCGCAGGTCGGAACGCTCAGCGTCGTCCATCGTTTGCACGCCGAAGCACCAGTCGATGAACTCCTTCACTGGCTACAGGGTTCAGGCTGCACAGCTTCCTAAGGCGACCAAGGCAAGCCGTCCTCACCACAAGGCTTATGCCAATGCACTCACGACACGGCACAGAGCATGATTTGCAAACTGGAAGCTACGCTTCGGTCGTTTCTGACGCGGAAAAGGCTCAGTGACATTCAGCCGGCCATCTGCATTCGCGTCCACGGCGTCAAAGAGCTTGTCCTGGGCTCACAGATGGGGTGGTCCCTTTGAAAATGGCTCGCAGCCTCGCAACACCGCGCGGCACTTTCAAAACTTTCCATCCCAAAACCCATCCATTTTCTGGCCCAGGTTCGATTTCTCCATCCGACATGACGGGCAGGTCTTTGGCCAGGGTTTTGAGCATTTCTTTGACCCTTGGAGCTTGCGGCTTGAGCTACTTCGGCCAGGTGCCTGCCCTACCTGAGCCCCTGCGTTGCTTTGTGTGGGTGGCGTGTGAGGCAGTGACGGAGAACCTGCCACAGCTGTAAGTGCGGAGTCAAGGGGCTCAGACTTGTCCAGGAAACCGTCCTTGTTCAGGTCCGCCTGCTTTTACAAAATCGCAGTGTGACATTGTTGGGCCTTCGAATCCTTCAAACTTCGAGGAAGGAGTCGGCGGCCTTGGCGAAGGCAGCCTTGACGTCGGCAAGGCTGCCCGGTCGCAGGTCACGCAACAGCAGCGAGTCTTGGTCCTAGCAAGGACGGGCTTGGTCAGGCCTATAGGTGCCTCGGCGTCGAGAAAGCAGAACCGGCACAAAGCTTCCCTGAACTCTGTGACTTCCGTCCAGGGCAATGAGACGTCCAGAAGGCCGCACGAGCACGACCTGAGCTTCTGACCCGTGGGCTCGCGAGTGCTTAAAATCTTGCACAGACCAGCGAAGACACGAATTTGTGACAGGCTCTTGGGATTTGGGAAGATTCCCGAAAACGAAGCTTCACCACTGTAGAAGCTCGAAGACTCCAACTTCCACACATCGCACACCCCTAGGCCCTAGGCCCCATGAGGCGGTGGGAAAACTCTCGCAATGAAGTCTCGGAGCGTGGTGCTTGTCCTCCGGATCGACCACTTTCTTGATTTCCCATCCTGCCAATTCACAACAGGTTATGGCCCAAGAAACTCCAACACGGGTTAAAGACACAAGAAACAGCAAAGCATTGCAAGCACGTGCGGGTGTCGAGAAAGACTTGACACCACAACGAGCCAACAAACGATCCCCTTGCGACGCTGCGAGGCTGCGCCAGTCTCACCAGTCTGTCTATTACTCCACCCTCTCTTTGCTACAATGCCCCCCATTGACATCAACATTCAACATTCATCTTCCTGCGCTGTTGCCGAGACGCGGAGCCACGAGACTTTCTCCTCCAGGTTTCCCCGGACAGTGCAGAGCTCCTGCCCTGCTAGGTTCCTTCAGGGCACCCGGCTTGCAACAGCATGCAGTGAACCTTTTACTGTTTGGGCTAGTACTGTGGCGACATGTTTAGCGTGCAAACAGTGCAAAATTTAAATGACTAATTCCTGGGCATGTAGGAGGCAAAAAATTGCTGGGCTTCCCATAATCGTGTTGGGGCACCCAATGATCCTGCCTGATTTTGTTGTACATATTGCTGAGAATTCGTCACTGCTACTACTAGTAATACAGTACTAAGACATCCCGCCGCGGAAAAAAACATAAACAACATCCTTGGATCGTCGTTTATTGGAGCGGCACACTCATCAGATCCCACACTAGCTGGCAAGAAAGCCCTGTGATGAGTGCTCAACCGCTCAGAATAGCACAGAGTCAGAGCAGAACACTTGCGCGGTTGCTATATATGGGTCACAGGCGCTTAATGCCACAGTACATGGAAACTTGATCCTTTCATCAGGAGCCCTCAATGAATCACTCTCGTGTGTTGATGGCGTCTAGCACTGTTGTAGGTGACAGTTTGCAAGCACTGGGCAAGAAAGGAAGTACGAAGCAACTATGGATATCTGAGAAAGACCGGCTTAGTACTTCAAAATGGCTTCCCGAACCGGTCAGCTACAAACCGACGTCGCACTGATCTCAGAGTCCAACTGGATGCTGCTGCGCTGGCAGCTTCTTGCTGCGTGTGGCAGGGGCGCAAGCGCACGGATCCAACTGAACAACTGCGACCCAAGATGTCCTGCCCGTTACGACGAGAACCTCCTTCTCGCCACTGTGGTCCACCGCAACCTTCTGCAAATGAGGGACAAGTTTACACTCTCAGCGCTATTCCAGCCTAACTCACTCAGGCTCTGTGTGCATGCCGATGGCTCAGCGACGGTAGGTTTCCCAAAAGCCGGCGCAGCAATGCATCTAGTTGGCACAATCCACTCTCCGGCAAACGTGTGGTGTGGAATCAGGGGCAAAACCCTGAGCCCAGAGATTTTCGACACGGTTCACAGCCTCCAGCGGAAGAATCAAATCCTCGGTGAAACATGATTTTTCAGCTGCACAGGGAGCCTGCACACGTCAAGAAAACTTGATTCTGTTGGCGGATACTTCAGCAGAAACCAAGTGTTGTAGGTTTGCCAACATCAGAGACCAACTGCACGAATCGGGTCGGGTAGTCACAATCCCATTAGCCATGGTCTTCCGGTTTCGATGAACCCTGAAAACAAGGAATCTTCAAGCAAAGTTGCCGTCTTCAGCTTATCCTGTCCCGACAGGAGCACATCTACTCAAGCGACTCCATACAGCAGCAATTGTAGACATCATTGCAATCGCATGAGGGTTCATTGCAATCGGCAGCTTTCGAGTTGCTGAGGGAAGACAGCCCAGCTGTAAGCCCGAAACCCTGCGAGAAACACCTTCAGAGCTGAAAATCCCGAACCCGTGTGTCCCGCATGGTACGTTGAGGTGTTGATGTCTCCTGGTAATTACGTTTTAAGTGACGGCACAGGAATGGCTTGCACCGAGTACCCAGACACATGGAATGTGCGGCAAGCAAACAAGAGACTCGCACGCACGCATACATGCACGCAGGGAGAGAGGGAGAGAGAGAGAGAGAGAGAGTGTGTGTGTGTGTGTGTCTGCATGACCTGTTCCGCTTCTCGGCGACGTTGCTCTTCCATCTCCGCCAGTTGTGCTGCGCTCCAGTAACCTTGGTGCAGTTCAGATCTCAAGTCTGAAGCTCCGGGAGTTCCTTGGCATGGGGCCACCTGAGTACACACCCGGCCCACCCTGAGCTGCGCCAGCATCTCATTTCAGCTGGTTGTCTTTCGTGTTGCGGCTCCACGGCCGCTGGATTCTGAAGGTATCACAGGTGCCAAGTAACTTTCATTGTCGTGGCGCAATGGATCATGTTCCGTTCCAGGGCAGTAGATCAAGCTGAGAGGCGGGATGTTGGAACGCGCTCCATAGGCAGAGAAAGTCGGCGTTTCGTTCGCCAAGATACCTCAGGTTCTCGTCGAGGCGTCTTCCCGCTTGCGCCCCCAAACCAGGGCAGCTCGGGTCCCTGCACAAAGAGCAGACGAGCCACCCATCACAAGTATGCGCTTGGGCAGGTTGTCAAAGTAGAGACCTCGACAAAACCAAAAGCATCACTGAACGATGCGATTGGCACAGCATACAATGCTATCATAGGGCTGATGCCGAGTCGCCATAGTGTGCAGCCAGCACATCATGATTTGGCCGCTGGCTGTCGTTGTAATTCTCGAACATTACCTCTGCACAGGGGATCCAATTTGAAGGCTTAGTGGTGCTTGGGGCACTTTTGGTCATCTGTTCCATTATGTGGGAAGCCCTGGGTGCGGCAAAGCTGCAATCCTTCCCCGCTCTGCGGCAATCGTCCCCAACTCGTCAGGTGCATGGGGAAAACGAATCCCCCCAACCGAGTTGAAGTACACAACGACAGAAATAGTCGGCACCACACGCCTGGGCTTCTCTTTTGCGAAACTCTGGCTATCCAAATCCAGAAAATCCAGATTGTAGTCAGCCAAACCCTCGAGATTGATGTGGTCGATGTGCGGCGACTGCCCCTCTCCACAAATGTCCGACACTGTGAACTTGTCCCGAGATTGCTCCAAGTTCAAGCCTCATAGGCCCGCTATTGTCTCAAAAAGCTCACGTGATTGGTCATCCATTGGAAACTCGATACCTTTCTTAGACCCAACCCAACTGGCAAACAATACTACGAAACCCGCTGCCAGATGCAACCTAGCGGCTCCTGGATGATATGGCCTTCCCACTCCGGGTTTCCGTCAAGTACGAGCCACACTCACTACAGGCAAACTTGTCGTCGACCGCTTTGAGAAAAGATTCGGAGACCGCACCATCCACAACCCACCTGAAACATGCGAGAAAGCACACGGCCAGCAAGTCCAAGCCTCGCAGATATTCTTTAACGGCTGCTGGATCAACAAGCAAAAAATGAATCAAAGAAGGAACGCAGCGGATCAATAGAAAAATAGAACAAATCAAAACATAAATTATCAGGCCCAGTAATTACGGCACTTCTTGACTGTGGCGAATGATGACAATTGCAGCACATGCTGCCGGTTTTAGCTTTCAAATGCATGGCGAGCAGCACACTGGGCTCGCTGACAGCATGCTGAATAAACACCGCACGGTCCATTGCAAGCTTCACGTGCCGCCCACGAGCCAAAGGACTACGGCTCACAAGTGCGATCCGATACGCCGGAACGGAAACAGCTGCGTAGTGCCTGCTCGTAGCAGATGGCAGGCCGCCCTTAGCAGGGCCGTTGAGAAAGGCCCCGTTCCCACCCCATGGAAGTGGGAGGTTGAGGACGTTCACACAGGGGCACATGGTGCCGATTGCCACAAGGATGAGGATAGTGGATGGGTTGAATCTTCCGGAGCTTGGCGAGCGGCGCAACAGCACTGCTGCAGCTTCAAGCTGCCACTGGTGCACTGGCTGAGAATGCGCCCTTAAGTCGGCAGTTTAGTAGACCAAACACCATCCATCAGGAGTTTGAAGTCCGGCTTTCATCGCCCCAGAGAGATTATTGCCGCTGTTTGCTTTGGCATACGTCCAATCCTTTCAAGCGGACACGCGCCCCTGGCAGTGATTCAGTCATGAACCCGTCGGATACAGGTGTTTCATACAGATGGCTCTCGGCATAAGCAGTAGTTCTTGTGCTTCAAAGCATGAGCTGCAGCCGATATTTGTTTGAAGGACTTGTATCCGAGTTGCATTGCTTCCGTGCTTGAGAGCCCTTTCGTGCACGGAGAAGCTTCGACTCCATCAACTTGCCGGTGAGACTCAGACGCCGGAAAACATGCCCAGGCACTTGGCTCTACGGCAATGCACCGGTTTGCATGGCAGCAAGAGCAAACACCTGTAAGGCTCACAAAGGAGTGACAGGTAGATTGCATGCGTCATACTGTAGCTAGAGTGGATGCACCCTATTTCACTTTGTGTAGGCCGGACCGGCCTCCAAGAAACCGCTCTGCCAGTTGAAGCTGGCTTCCGGGCTTGCCCTGGAGCTCTTCAGCGCCCCACCATTCCAGAGAATCTCAATGGCTGGTGGTGCTCCCTGCTGGACCCTTTCCGTTGGGGGTCTGGACTCCACCCCACTTCGGAGAACATGTCCTGGACATTCCCTGGAAAGATTCTCCCAAAACCCCTTGCAAGATCTGGCAAAGGCCTTGCCTTTGCCTTTGCCTTTGCCTTTGCCTTTGACCTTTCCCTGGCGTCTACGGCTGGCAAGGCTCCTCCATGAGCCATCGTGGCCTGCCCATGGATCATTCTCGTAACTTGGGCTTTTCACTTGCTTCACATATGTGCCTACCCAGGCACAGTCCCATGACTGCCAGCATTTCTTGCATATTTGATTTGCCTTGTGGTGACTTCGCCACATCCAGTTGCCACACACTTGCACTCCTGGAGCTTGAGATTGCGTAGTCCAGCTTGAACTTCGGGTCGATGAAGGCACCTTGAGCCACTCTTTCTCTGTGGTAGTTCTCAGAGGATGGCAGCTACACTTTCGATCTCAGACAAGTTTTGCTGCATTGGTCATTGGCTTGCTGATGCAGTTCATGGCTCGAACCAGCGGCATAGGGCCATGGATGGACGTGGCTATGCCCTGCTTGGGCACTTAGAGAGGCCAGAGTGCGCGCTGCAAACCAGTTTGTGTAGCCTCACAACCTGCAGGACTTCGGTGTGCCCTGAAGATCAGATTTCTGGTGGCGAGCCACAGCTGGAGGGCCAGCGAAGCCTGGTCGCGACTTTGGTGTGCCCTGAATATCGAGTTGATCATTATGGCGAGCTAAAGGTGGAGGACCATTTGCGGGAACATTTCATGTGCCTCGTGCGCTTGGACATGACTCTGGGGCAGCATCGAGAGTCCCTCCAACTGGTCGCGTCTGAAAGCTTTGAGAGCTCGAAGGGAGGGCCGCTGCCTACGATGCAAAGCACCATCATCTTACCAGTTGGTGCAAGAGTACTTGGATTCAAGTTTTGGGAGGTCGGGAGCTCAGGATTTCTTTGCAAGCCCCAAGCTTCAGCATGCTGCAGAAATGCAAAACAACTAGAGTTTGCTTAGGCCATTGACGATGACTCGGGCTTTGTGCGGGTGTATCACCCTTGCGTCCTGTTTGAGGACCCCTTTTATGTGGCACGCGAGTCCTGAAACAGAACGACCGATCAAAAAAACATCTGGAGGAGGATGGAGAGCTTCACCTCCAGCCGCTCTCCAAGCACTTTATCCGCTCAGACTATGTGAAATTCCCGGGAAGGGAACGCTGGCTTCCTCCAGAATTAAAAGTCCTCGAGACGAAGAGGCCCGGAGTCTGTGAGCCCATCGGTTCTCATTGCTTCTGCAGCCCAGTGCCCAGAGGCCCGAAGAGCAGGACATCGCCATGATCCCCGAGGCAAGAGCAGCGCACAGATGGAATTTGCTTGGCTTTGATTGAGAATCTTTAGGTCCTTGGCTTCAGAGTGATGCGCGCGTCCGTCGACCACATTCTTGACTGCAGATACACAAGTCTCTGGCCGACCCTGACCTTTAAGCATATCATGTTCTGGATCGATCTGTCTGCATTGACGTGCGTGATGGGCCTCAGTCACGTCCCAGCATGTCGTAAATGGCACAGCATGTTGCCGTGACTCGTTCAATGTGTCGCAATTCAATGCCCAGGCACTGTTTTACGTGGATATTGGGCTGGACATCTCGCAGTTGCTGCTCTTCGAGCGCCGCGGTCTTTTTGGCTACCTGACGCTGAACTGCTTCGGCCTGCTGCTGCCCGTGCTGTTCACGTGCATTGACGTCGTCCGGTTCTGCCGCCGCAAATCAGTAGAGCACGACTTCCTTCAAGGACTACTGACAGCCAAGCTAGTGCTGCCGTTGCTGCTCGTAGCAGTCTTGTCACAGTGCTTCACGCTGGTCATGGCCTTGGTGTCCGCCTATACCCAGAAGCAGCTCGGCTGAATGCGGCTCCACACAAACCTTTGCCAGCAATCGCAAAGAGCGCTTAAAGAGCGCCTAAAGAGTGCCACGAGCCAAGGAAGCACTCTCTGCTCTCAGGGGCGAAGGCGGCCGAGGCTCTGGGACGTTTGCGGCTGAGGGTCCCGCAAGGTTCTTGATGCACTTGGGAGCGACAGGTTGCCGAATCCGCAATCTCGGCGCTGGTGCAGACGAACTTGCTGATGTCTGCCCTGGGTGGCGTTTCACAAATTGAATCGCTCGATTTGTCGGATGGAGAGCTACAAAGCTTACAGCTTTCAGTTGCCGTTTCCTGTTTTTCCCTTGGCCTGGGCTTTGCCAGCCGCGACAAAGCGGACTCGGCAGTGCTCGGCCTTCCTGGCAAGCTGGGATGGGGTCTCCCAATGGCGGCCTTGGTCCTCACAAGATCGATGGAAGTGTTTAGCAGGGTCTTTGCTTACAACATCATACAGATTTCTGTGAGGGGCTGGCCGCTGTTGCGTTTCGGCGGCATTGTAGCAGTTGGCCTCGTGCTGCTGTCATCCCAACTCGTCTTCCCAGAGGAGGCCTCTCTGGCAGATGTTGCGGCTGCTTGACGGCAGCCACGCTCACTTGTTTAGGATCCGAGAACACAGAGAGACTGTGTTCGTCCTCTTGAGGCGTCCGTCGCAGCCTATCCAGGCCAGGTGCTTGAACCGAGCTCGCTGCTACCCCTATGGCTCCCTGGCTGTCGGCTGTCGCTGCAGTGATAAATAGTGTGTTTTGAAACGTGCTGCACAGCTTTTGTAACGGTGTGAGACACTGCTTCGAGGCACTGCTTGATGGTACACATGCTTCTGGTGGCTGCCGCCGCTGGAGCCCAGCTTCTGATACGCACGAGCTTTGCTCCAGAAGCTTCGAAGGCGTCACAGATCGTCGCAGGCAGCAGCATTGTTCCATCAGTGTTTTGGTCGCCCCGCAGGTCCTTCCTGACGTGCTCTTGTTTGCGTGGCTGGTCTTCAGCTCAGTTTTTGTTCGGGCATCCATGGTGCAGCATTAAAGCATGTGGCATGAGCATGTTATGATTTCCAAGCACCGTTCCAAGCCACTCTAGACTCTAGACCCATCTGAATCCACCGCCCCGGCGTTGTCAGCAAGGGAGGCACCTTTTTCATCACACCTCCAAGCTCAAACAGAAGGAACATCAAGGAATCATTGGAAGCTTCGGAGTGAGAGTTTCTTCTGCATGTCCTCTAAGCTGCCCTCTTCTGGTCGCACTCTGCTCTGCTCCCACTTGCTTCTGAACTTCACCAAATAACACGGCGCCTGACAAAGACCACCCCAGACAAGGTGTTCTGTGCGGGATCCCAACTCTTTTTGCATTGCTTCAAAGCCGTTCCCAGCGAACTGAACTTTGCAGAGCACCCGAATCAGAAGCACGTGAGATACAGCAACAATGCAGCAATCACTCAGTGAGTGACCCTTGTCACTTGTGCCGTTCCGTGGCTTCGAGTTCAAGTGAGGTTGCACACTCTGTGTGCCCTTCTTTGCCGTGCGAGTAGCCTGCCGCTGTGCACTTTGCACGCGGCTTTCCTCGGTTGCGTTACGAGGGTGACCATCAAAACGAACACTCCTGCAGGATCAACAGTCTTCTGCAGTATGGTTGACCCTGCTGTGACGTACCTAGTCACCGAGGCCGTCAGTGTTGGGAGCTGGATGGCGCTTGCGCTGCTCAGCCGCTTTGAACGCAAAGTGGCGGCAACAGTGCGCCTGAGCATGACGTCATGACGCTCGTGCGATCAGGAATACAAGGCAGGCAAATGGAGCAGCCACGCTTTAGAGAATTGGCAGGCGCGGGGTGCTACAAAAAAAAGGGCAGCTTCGCAGCTTCGGCTCATCCATTCTTCTCTTTAGGTGACGGGGCACCTATTTCCTTTTCGACACTGAAGTCGGCTTTCGCCACAGAAAACCAGGCGTGGCTTGGCGGGCAAACATGAGTGCGCAGTGCTTGAGATGCTGAGATGCCGCCAGGTGCCAAAGGCAGTCCTTGCAGCTTTAAAGGCGAAGCACTCCGTGAAGTTGGACACTGCATCAGCCGTGACTTGGATGGAAGCTTGAGAGATGCTCGGAGCCCGGAGCGGTGAGCTGTGCTGTGCAGAGGCGCAAGGCCTGGATCAGCGCAATGCCCAATTGATCCTGGAAACTGGAGTGGACGCGGTCTTTCATGGCGTCACCCTTGAGCAGCCGAATCTGAGCGCACAGCAATTCATTCAGGTTCTGAACCGCTCCAAACCAGAGACGATCCGACTTCATGCGCGGAACATCCCGGCCGCCGGCTGGCGCGAGCTCCAGGTCGCCGAGTGGCCGAAGCTCACCAAAG